TGTGTGTGTGTGTGTGTGTGTGTGTGTGTGTGTGTGTGTGTGTGTGTCAGCCAGTATTGTGACAGCGTGGCTTGATGAGGCAGCTACTCTGGAGCACATGTCTTCTCACTCTGCTGCTTTATAAAGACTGGCTGGTCTGTTTCTAATAGTAACTTCCGCCTGTTAAGAAGCCTGTGTGCGTGCGTGCGTGCGTGCGTGTGTGTGTGTGTGTGTACACGCGCTTGTTCAGAGGCCGTTTGCAGGGCTGCTTGCAGTGCGTTGTTCCCGGTCATTCTTGATATCAGCTACTTTATCACACAGAATAAGAGCAGAGGGCACAATAAAATAATAAAAAATAGAAAGCATGCAGCTATTTTTCCGTATGAAAAGCGTAACTGAGAAGTGCACGAAACAAGAGCAGGTTGCCATGGAAAATATAAAATCCTTTCACCGCTCATGCATTTCCCATCTTGCCCTCTCGCCACACAGAAGCTCTTTGTACAGCCGAGGGAAAATATTCCCACTGTTGGGGGGGAAAAAAAGTAGTTTTCTCCTTCCTCTCCTTTCCTGTTTGTTTTTCTTTTTTCATCTTGCTGTGACATGTTTGTCACTAAAGGAGTTGAGCTCTTTCTCGTCACCAACACATACTTGTTTGCTTTGACGGTAAAATGCATTTGTTCGGTCAAGAGTCAGGAAGAGTACACGGACCAGGCCTCGTGTCTCAGAAGTCTTGTTAGAAGCAGCCCTGGGATGACATTTATCAAAACAAAGATGTCTGGAGATATGGACACACACACACACACACACACACACACACACACACACACACACACACGTATGGTTCGCTGTGCTTAAAATAAATGATGAGCTAGCAGCAGCACTTGCATATCAGAGAAGCATCTACGAGTCTCGAGAGGAAATGCGACTCATATCTTAGTGCTGCTTTTGTGTTGCGTTTCAGTCAGAAGAGGGAAACTTTTCTTCCAGCTTCTCACTCAGAAATACGAGCATTAAAACACTCCGAGCTCCGTGTCATCGGCTCAAACCGTGTGATGCTATAATCACTGGAAGCTTGAGACGTGATCTATAGAAATCAGTTCTTCTAATTCACTGACTTCAGAATCACAGATTTTTAATATGTGACTTTGCATTTGTGGAAACATGAGTAAATATGTCTTGTTTCGTGTACTGTATGTTGTGTCATTTACAGGTAAATATCTAAAAGTTGGGTGAAGTAATATTGTCTGCTAAACTTGGTAATATTCCTACGATTAAGAAAAGGAAAGTAGATCTCGGCACCTCCAGTCTTGAGGGAAAACGTCGGCGTCAGGAGGTGGATGTCGCTGGTGATTGTCTTATTAATAAAGCAATGAGGTCACGGCTCCCTCCTCGTCTTACCGGGCAGCGCTGGTGTGTCGATCTTTGTAAGGATCTGCTCGTGTTAATAATTAATCCTCCTTTCCGCTCTCATGGCTGTTCTTTGACCTCCCTTTAAGCACATATAACACTTCAACGTCACTTCTTCTCTTTATTGCCTCTTGTCTCTGTGTGCGTGGACGTGTGTCTCTTCGGGGGGGGGCATCGAGTGAATGACGGCCTATTGGTTCACTGTCAGGCTGCTGTGTGTGCAGTTTTATCACGGAGGAATATTGAAGTGGGGATTGCTTGTGCAGCTTTCACACATTTTAATTGTTTTGGTCGACACATGTTGTAATGTGCGTCATAAATAAAGTGTGCTGACTTGTTTACTGTGGATCTTTGCCCTTTACAGCAGTAGTGTTAATCATGCAGCAGCCATTTAATAAATCATTATTATATATCTATCTATATACAGTTGTGTGAAAAAGTGTTTGCCCCCTTCCTGATTTCTTATTTTTTTGGATGTTTGTCACACTTAAATGTTTCAGATCATCAAACAAATTTAAATATTAGACAAAGATAACACAAGTAAACACAAAATGCAGTTTTTAAATGTTTTTTATTATTAAGGGGGAAAAAAAATCCAAACCTACATGGCCCTGTGTGAAAAAGTGATTGCCCCCCCTCCCCTGTTAAAACATAAATTAACTGTGGTTTATCAAAGTAATTGAGATCTATCAGTCTGGAAAAGGTTACAAAGCCATTTCTAAAGCTTTGGGACTCCAGCGAACCACAGTGAGAGCCATTATCCACAAATGGCGAAAACATGGAACAGTGGTGAACCTTCCCAGGAGTGGCCGGCCGACCAAAATTACCCCAAGAGCGCAGCGACGACTCATCCAAGAGGTCACAAAAGACCCCAGAACAACATCCAAAGAACTGCAGGCATCACTTGCCTCAATTAAGGTCAGTGTTCATGACTCCACCATAAGAAAGAGACTGGGCAAAAATGGCCTGCATGGCAGAGTTCCAAGACGAAAACCACTGCTGAGCAAAAAGAACATAAAGGCTCGTCTCAGTTTTGCCAGAAAACATCTTGATGATCCCCAAGACTTTTGGGAAAATACTCTGTGGACTGACGAGACAAAAGTTGAACTTTTTGGAAGGTGTATGTCCCGTTACATCTGGCGTAACAGTAACACGGCATTTTAGAAAAGGAACATCATACCAACAGTAAAATATGGTGGTGGTAGTGTGAAGGTCTGGGGCTGTTTTGCTGCTTCAGGACCTGGAAGACTTGCTGTGGTAAATGGAACCATGAATTCTGCTGTCTACCAAAAAATCCTGAAGGAGAATGTCCGGCCATCTGTTCGTGACCTCAAGCTGAAGCGCACTTGGGTTCTGCAGCAGGACAATAATCCAAAACACACCAGCAAGTCTACCTCTGAATGGCTTAAGAAAAACAAAATGAAGACTTTGGAGTGGCCTAGTCAAAGTCCCGACCTGAATGCGATTGAGATGCTGTGGCATGAACTTAAAAAGGCGGTTCATGTTCGAAAACCCTCCAATGTGGCTGAATTACAACAATTCTGCAAAGATGAGTGGGCCAAAATTCCTCTACAGCGCTGTAAAAGACTCATTGCCAGTTATCGCAAATGCTTGATTGCAGTTGTTGCTGCTAAGGGTGGCCCAACCAGTTATTAGGTTTAGGGGGCAATCACCTTTTCACACAGGGCCATGTAGGTTTGGATTTTTTTCCCCCCTTAATAATAAAAACCTTCATTTAAAAACTGCATTTTGTGTTTACTTGTGTTATCTTTGTCTAATATTTAAATTTGTTTGATGATCTGAAACATTTAAGTGTGACAAACATGCAAAAAAATAAGAAATCAGGAAGGGGGCAAACACTTTTTCACACAACTGTATGTATGTATGTATGTGTGTATGTATGTGTGTGTGTGTGTGTGTATGTGTGTGTATGTGTGTTTATAGTTATAGTTTAACACAGTTCATGTTCTTATTTAATTATTTCAGGCACATGAATAATGAGCATAAACATTGCTACGTTCATATCCTCCAATATAGACCATTTATTTGGTCTCTCTACACGTACAAACAGCTTGCGTCCATGTTTTTAAAAATAACCAACAAATATTTGAACTCGACTAACTCCTTGAGTTGAATTACCCGTGACTTCACGTAGGTCCAGTGTATTGCTCTTCACACAGGGCTTCCCGTCCGTCAAATCATTGATTATAAAATGCTGCTGTTGGTTTATAAAGCGCTGAATGGTTTCGGGCCAAAACACTTTGGTGGTTTTGTGCTACGCTATGAACCATGCAGACCTCTCAGGTCGTCTGGGACCGGTCTGCTTTCTGTCCCCAGAGTCAGAACTAAACATGGAGGAGCAGCGTTCGGTTATCTGGAACAAACTCCCAGAAAGCTGCAGGTCTGCTGCAACCATCGCCTCGTTCAAATCAAGGCCGGAGAGTTTTTTTTTGTTTGCCGCTGCCTTTTATTCAATAACTTCTTACACTGCTGCACTGTTTTATTCTATTTCATACTGGTGTTCATTTTCTATTCTCTTGGCTCTTAAATGACCGTTTTTAACTGTATTTACATGAATAGGTTTCTTTTGCACTCTGTCTTTTGTCTTTTAAAGTTTTATTTAAAGCGCTTTGAATTGCCTCGTTGCTGAAATGTGCAATATAATTAAACTTGCCATGCTCTTTTCTGTAGCGTATGAAATTGATTTATATTTGAATACCTAAAATATGGTCAAATAAGTAAGAAGTACATCATTTGAAGTACTTCTCAGTCCAGTATATACTTTGCTTTGTTAAGAACCGCAGTACTTTTGGACCCTTTTGACTTCATAAAACCAATTTGAGGTTTATAGTCTATAGTTCCAAAATAGATGAATTACAGATGTGTAAGTCCGGTACCTCAGTTTAACCTTTCTGGCTCACTGCTTGCAGCCACATTTCTCACCTTTTAATCCTTTGAAGAATTCCCACTCCCACTAGTGTCTTCCTCAGTAAAGGAATAAAGGTTCTGTGCGTCCTTGTTTTACTCTCGCTCTATGACTTCCACGATATTAAAGTCCAAATACAACAACTACCTGGAAGCCCCGGGAGTAACATTTCCCCACACAGGAAACGAGCCATTTACATGTTTTTGGAGTAGCTTAGATCGCTAATAAACAGCTGCCGCTCATTCCTACACACTCGTGTTTACCTGATGTGGCATCATGCAGGAAATGAGCTTGAGTCATTGTACTGTGATGAAATTAATCCTGGGTACAAGTAGTTTACCAAAAGGGTCCTTGTTGGTATTCAATGTGTTATTACATGTGTAATGCTGTTATTACATTGGTGTCTGTTTTTCTCCTGCAGGGAGACATCGAGAAAGGACTGGAGATGAAGAAACTGGTGCTGTCTGGTTTCTTGGCCAGCGAGGAGATCTACATTAACCAGCTGGAGGCCCTGCTACTGGTGAGGCACACACGCACACACACACACACACACACACACACACACACACACACACACGGTGTTTTGAACTAGACCATGTGTGCAAATGAAACAGCTGGAGTGAAGATAATTTCCCTTTCTGACACTGATGGACGCATTAACTTGTTTTGGGGACAGACAGCCGGTCCTGCATCATGTTGCAGTGGAGCAGGACAGCGTGAACTGTTGGACGTGAACTGTTGGAGTGATATTATTAGTTGATGGTCAAACTGAAAGCAAGACCACAGCCGCTGCAGTTTCCTGCAACATGCTTCCCCAACGCTCAGCCGCTTTATGTCATATCCTGCCGCTCGCAGCCACGTGATGCACTTTGACCAACATGAAGTCAGTTTGACATCAAAGCTGTAAAATTGCACACGGACAGTCACAGTTGTAATACAACGCCGCCACATAAAGAGCTGTAGTCAGTCAATGAGGTAAAACAAATTTAAATAAATAAGATTGCAGAAATCTGATCCATCTCTCGGTTCCTTCTCTTTCAACCTTCAGTGACGACACAAGTCATGATACGATTCCACCAATAGAGAGTCTGTCTTTGTCCTCCTCCACTTCCTCAGTCAGTGAGAGAAGGTTTAAAACACACACCGTGAGCACACACACAAATGCATTTTGTATATTTGGCAGGTTTTAGTTAGAAATTAAAGGCATGTCAGGACTTGTAACAAAAGTGGTGTTGAATGGGTTTGTGGGTACCCTCTTTGTCAGCTCTCCATGTTAAAGATCATGGTGAATTTAACAAAGTCTAGGCAGACTGTTGATAACTGACAGCCAGCAGTTGCTTGTACTTGGATGTTTTGGTGTAACTGCTGTCTGGTGTTGATATTTTTTAACCTGGATCTAATTTTGCCATATTTTTGTGTCTCATGGGGACAAACATTTTTGACATTGGTCCAGTATTGAGGGAGGACGCTGCAGACGGCAGCCGCTAAACACGTCGTAATCGCTCGGGGAAACTGAACGCTGTCTGACAACATTATGCGATATGTTCCCCTTACCTAAACCTGAACCAACCCTTATCCCTAACCCATGACGGGTGCTCTATCATTTTAAGAGGAGGGAAACACTGTTCGATAAGGGAACAGACTTTGACATAACACCGGTCTGTTTGTTATTGTGCGTCCCATTCTGAAATCTATCGTCACAGCCACATTGTTGAAATCAGCTAAATGAACACAAAGCTACTCTTTCTGTACTCCACTCACACTAACTCACGTTTCCAGTCACATGACCCACAACAAACGTTTTATTTCTCTGTAGAGTCCTTTTCATAATGTTGTCAGACACTTATACTAACAATCTGATCTGATCTGTGGCAAAAACAAGCGCTGTTAGTGCACTTACATTTATAGCGAGGAGTTGCCCCGAGCGATAACATTACAGCCCGTCAGCAGCATACATCCTCAATGCTGGACCAACCTCAAAACAATGTCTCCATTAGTCTCACAAACACCAAAACATCCAAAATTGTGGAAGCCAAAGTTACCCGTTAATATCTGAGGAGGTAACTCATGGCAGGAAAAAGAGACAGAAGAAAATAATTGTTCTCCATAATCACAGGACGTCCTCCTGTAACCTAACATGGGAAGATACATGGAGATAATACTGTTGTCTAACCTGATGGGGGCTGCTCTGCTTCATGCGTTGCCTTCATACAGACCCCTGCAGCCAGCGGGAGGCTGACTCATCATCATCCTGAGGGAAATGTTAGTTTCCGTGACGCGAGAGCGTTTTTGTTTTCACTGTGGTTCAGGGTCCCTCCCCACCCACCGTGTCCACTCCGCACACATCTGTGATTAACTGAGTTGGCGTACAATCTGACTGGTCAGAAACTGCACCGCAGGAAGAGAGAGTCGCCCAATTGCAGAGCAGAGAGGCTTATCACTGGGTGACGCAGATCAAGATCACAGATCAAGATCAGTTTTTGTTTTTTTCAGGCACTGGCCCAATTAGGACACTGACTGACCAATTAACCGCCTCAAATTGTCGTCGCAATCAAAGTCTGCTCCTAAATTATACAGGACTTTATCCCATTTTTATCAGAACATGATGCCAAAGTGAATTGATTTAAACAACTTATCTTAACAAAGAAGAAACATAAAATGAGTTGAGGTCTGATGCCTTCCAGTCCTCCATATATTTACGGTGGTTAACCTTTGGGAAAGATACCGGCCCTCGGTTGTGTTCACTGAGTCTGTCTCTCTCCGATCCTCCAGCCCATGCGTCCTCTGAAAGCCACGGCCACGAGCTCGCAGCCCGTCCTGACCATCCAGCAGGTCGAGACCATCTTCTACAAAATCCAGGACATCTTTGAGATCCACAAGGAGTTCTACGACGCCCTCTTACCCAACATCCAGCAGTGGGACGAGAAGGTCACCGTAGGGCATTTGTTCCAGAAGCTGGTGAGTCTGACGAGTCTTACCCTCTCCCATCATTTGCAGGGCACATTTAAATGAGTGTTGGAGGGAAAATTGTAAAATGCTATTTGTACTCTGTGAATCACTGATCTAAATTACACTCTGTGTGTGTGTGTGTGTTTGTGTGTGTGCGTGCTCTCCCGTGTCTGTGGTCTGAGTGCATTAGCAGAAATGTTGCAGCCTCCGATCCATAACGCTGTCATATTTGCGCTGGGTTATATTTCTTAAACAGGCGCTCTCGGTACTTAATGTACACGGTTACGTGTGTGTGTGTGGATGTGTCTGTGTATAGAATTAGCAAGGCTCCAGGCCTCGGCTAGAACTCCCTCTGTGTTGCATCATTACATTGTCACATTTGCACTGTGTGGATAACGCAATTTAAACAGGGCTTCTCGGCACATAACGTACTGTGAGAGCGAGTGCATGTACAGCGCGCGTCTCTTTTTAGATGCTCATTACATCTGATTGGCATCCTGCAGACCGGCTGACGCAACATGCTGTAATAGACGCGTTCAGCTGGGATGTAAGAAACTGGACTTCGAGAAGGAAAAAAATTCTCCACATAAAGATTACATTGACGTGTGTGTGTGTGTGTGTGTGTGTGTGTGTGTGTGTGTGTGTGTGTGTGTGTGTGTGTGTGTGTGTGTGTGTGTGTGTGTGTGTGTGTGTGTGTGTGTGTGTGTGTGTGAAATGCAGAGGCAGTCATCAGTAAAAGTTGTTAACTTCAATGGCCAATTTGAACAATTTGTTACTGAGAGCAGGAGTGTAAATAAACCCTGGCACACTGTGTCCTGTTAGTTCACCATGACTACGTCCCACTGTGGTGACAGAATATGGTGGTTTATAATTTTCCTGGACTGGAAACTAGACGGACAAACAAATTCTCTGTTTAGAGAAAGTGTTAGTGAACGTCTGTGAGCCTCTTATTCCTGACGGGAACAACGGGGTTTTTCTCCACAGTCTGAACAAAACCACAGAAGATGGAGGATAAAACAATGATTTCAGTCATTTTTATTACGAACATATACAGTATATGAACCATTAACACGGTTCACTTTCTCTCTTTTTGTCAAAATGTTCTTTTTTTCAGCAGTTTTATTACTGTGGCTTTTACAGCCTCACTTTGTCATCAGATTTCTAAAAGATAATAGACAATAAACTCTTGTTATTGACTTATAAACAATAAATGATTACTTTCCCTAACTTTATTCTACACAAATACATATTCAGTGTCGTTGTGGATTTGATGTTAAATTAGTAATTAATCAGTTGACTGAAAAACAGAGCCTATTATCGTACATTTACACAGGAAACTCCAGTGACAGGCTTATGAGAATTGTATATGTTCCAAATCTCCCTTTTTACGTTTTATGACAATAACCAGATAAATGTGATTAACTGATGTGGGATCAGCTGTGGAGCATGTCCCGTATTCAGCTGGCACCATAAGTTTGGATCTTAGGAGATGGATTTTATTCCCGCTAATTAGCTGCGTGTTACGAGAGATCCATTTTGCCAAATCATGAGCGCGCTGTGGTTTTGACTAGAGCACAAGAATAAGCTTCATGCCAGCTCAGACAAATGAACTCCTCACAACCAAGACTTCTAATTTTGCTCTTTTAGAAACAACAGTGAATGTAGGAAGTTGTTAACAATATCTTAGCGTACAGTTCGACTGCAGGTTTGATCTTATTATCAATTACAGTTTGTCACCATGTATTTCTAGACAAAATCGAGGAGTGCCACTGTTTGTTATCATAAGGTTGAATGTACATGCTTCTGCTCTGTTCAGCCACTCCTCAGTGACTCAGCGACAGATTCTAACCAGCCCGTGGGTTTGACAGATGTATATCATAACTCAGCTTTAATAACGAATGCATTTCATGCATTCGTTATGAGGAACCTGATGAGGATGTCTCTTTTATTCTAATATGAAACAGGGCTTTCTGCCATAGTGATCTTTCGCTTTCAATTTTGAACATCTCACAAAGGGTTCCAGGTACATTTTGATGGTTAAAATTAAAAAAAGAGCATGTCAGCACGGGGTATTATTAGCAGTAACACACTGTGACTCGAGGATTGCAGCTTCCAATTCATTCAGTGGGTATTTAAGATAACAGATGAAATAGTCAGAAGGTGAAGTTTAGAGAAAGAAACAAAACAGGCTTCCCTTTAGCACTCTGTTAACTAGCATCTGGTTTGAGAGAAGCTAAGCTAGCTAGCTGCTGATGGAGCAGCTAGCTGCAAGAACAACTGAATCTGCAACTACTAGCTACTGTACTACTGTCCACTACTGTACTGTCCTTAACTCATGTGTGTGTACAACAAGACAGTCAGGTGAGCAAAGAGACCAAGGTTAGCTCGCTAACTCGCTAACTTTTCCACCCAAAACTGACCAGCTGTAGTGGCAAATAAATAACTTACGGTAACAACACCACAGAAATGAACGTTACTGTTCACAGTAAATGTTTCAAGCACAAACAGATAATTGGTGCTGGCTATCAAACTTTAACTTCTGAAATTTGTTCATAGCATGAGTGTTGAAAAGTAACAGAAGTTAGCTTTGAATGTCTTTATCTCGTCACTTATTCTTTGTGGTGATATTTCCTTTTTTTAAATCATAATTGCGTTAATTTTGGACTCTGTCTTATATAAATATTTCAATGCTCTGAACAGCTTTGAAATGAGTTAGCAACTCACTTAGATTGATTGGCAATGCTGCGTTAGAAAATGAACAGAGCTCATTCATGCAGAAACCGAATCCTTTAAGTGGTTAAATAAGTACTTCCTCCTGCCCCTCCCCCTCTCTGTGGACCCCAGGAGTCGCACCACCAAGTGACACCTATTAGTGTAGTCATCAGCTCCCATCTGCGCTGCGTACATGAGCATGTCATGAGGCGGCTAAACATTTAGTCAGAGTGGCAGTGTGAGTGTACAGATGGCAGCGTAATTAGCTGGTCTCCTCCCCGCCGCTCCTCGTCGGCAGCATGGAGGCCACCGAAGAGGGACAGAGTTGCAGAAAACAGGCAGACAGGGGCATGAAAGCCAGCCACAGTTCCAGCTTTTCTCACCTTTTCCAGACCGGAAAAAAGGGCTCAGCTGCAGCCTGCGAGTGCCAGGATTGCATTTCACCACGTTTGAAGTGGAAGGGTGTAATCACTCCACGGCCATTGGATGCATTGCAATGGAATTTTATACCTGATATATGTAGACGTTCCCAACGAGATGAAGCTTACTGACCTACTGTATGCTCTAGTGCCACATGAGGCTGACATTTATGGCTTTATGTCAACTACTATTGGATAGATTTCCATTAAATGTGGTGCAGACATCGATGTCCTCCTCAGGATGAATATTAATAACATTAGAGATCCCGTATGTTTTTCATCTAGCGTCATCATCATTTGTCACCAAATACACCATCAACCTCACTTGTGCTTTTGTGTTTAGTCCACATTAACAAATGGTCCCAACATGCATTGTCATCGTGAGCATGTTGGCATGCTGATGTTAGCATTTAGCTCAAAGCATTGCTGTGCGCAGCCTCACAGAGATGCTAGTGTGGCCGTTAGTCTTCAGGACACAAAGGTCTGCTGTGTGTAGTCTTGTTGCTGGATTATTGTGTGTTATTCAGGTTGCATGAGATTAACTCAAGCTCATTTGGGGTCAGGATCATTTTCCTGTGAGATTATAATTTATTTATGAATTATGCTGTGGCCACACAGCAGTGATGCCATGTCATCTGAGAGTGTTGTGGTGAAGTCTCCCTGGTTTGGTGGGCATCGGTATTGTTAGTTACATGTACACGACTGACTGACGTTTTAACTGTTAAAGATCAAGGGGGAACAATGTATTTTGGCAACAGGAGGAACTGAGTGCTGCATGTACAATATCTGATTGTGCAATTTTGTACAATTCTATATGCAAGTCAGTTGGCTGTAGTCAAGCATGTCCAGGATTCAGATATTGCTAGTTGCTAAATAGTCATCATGTTGATGATACTTTTAATACGTATTAAATGTTGAGTAGTTGGCTGCATTCAGTCTTTCACTATATAGCTATTATACTATTTATATAATATATATTATTGCTGTGTTTATCTTTGTTTGTTTTTTTACAGACATAACCATACAATTAGAGCCCACTGCATCCTCTAAAATACAAAGAAGTTCTGTGTGTTTCATTCCGAGCTATAGAATCATGCAGAAGATATTGTTAGAAACAAGGTTTGGCCCCTCAGCGTTCGGCTGTCCAACATGTCGGTGAGGATGTAAGTTATCTAAAGGCTTTTTGAAGTGCTAGAGAATGTCTATTTCTAGTCAAGACTCCAATACTGCCCCCCCCCCCCCCCCCTCTCTCTCTCTCTCTCTTCCCCTCCTCGTCTTCTCCTTCCCGCCTCCACTCTCAAACACAAGCTGTTGTTTTCCCACCCGCCACTCTGACCCGTGATCTTGTTGTTTGAAGTGTGAGCGCTGTGCTCGGGAGCGTTGCTCAAAGTCCTGCGTCTTCAGTGACGGCCGTCGCCAGAGAGGTGAACCCGTGAAATACCGTGATCACGTCACTGCGCTGGGTTTGAGTATTTCCAGCCAAAGCTGCCAAGTCACAAATCCTCTATCTTTGGGAATGTGATCACTCTCATGGTGGTTTCTTCCTTCCATCCAAGGTTTTGGTTTGACATGGTGGAGTCTCCAATTATGAAGAGATGATATACAGACAGAGACTTGTTTGGCTGAGTCTGTGTTTGTCTTTATGTGGCTAAATGTTTGTGTCAGGATTGTGCTAAAATGACTTCATCACAAAAATAATTGTTGGCTATTTTATCTGTCTTCTGTTCCGATGAAGATCTAAAATAAACCCATCCTTTTTAAAAGTGTCGTATGAGGCCGGATGGTTCCCTCATGTCTCCTCTCTTCACACACTGAGGGGAAGTGGAAGGAGAGGAAATGAAAATAGGAGGAAGGGGGGGGGGGCTTTAAGGACAAAAGTAACAAGTCTTACTCATTCACTCTATTCAATTGAAAGCAATCTCATTGCTTTAATAGCGTGCAGTCAGCTCTTCAGCCCAGCCATTCAAGCACGGCTGTAGCAGGATGCATATTCATGCACTGCTGGTCTGCAGCTTGTGCTACAATGCACATACAGCGCGGCAGAGAGGGGCCGGTAGTGAAAGAGAAAGTGAATTTGTTTCAGTCAGGAGGACTGCACAGAGCAGTGCTATGGGGATGCGATTAGACTGTGTGCATTGGCTTTACTGTGTGTGTGTGTGTGTGTGTGTGTGTGTGTGTGTGTGTGTGTGTGTGTGTGTGTGTGTGTGTGTGTGTGTGTGTGTGTGGAGCCAAAGAGGGACTGCAGCAAAAATCCTGACGGGAATGTAAATTAATTAATCTGCCAGAGCCCGATATAAATTTTAATATAAACGTGCGAGAGTATGTGTGCAATTAGGTATAGAAATGATATTTGAAGGTGACTGAAATTTGCACTCGGTTCACTATGTTTTGGTTTCCTGTCTTGTGTTGTAATAGTAAATGTGTTGGACGGTAAACTCATTGGGTCTGAATTGTCCTTTTTTAAAACGATTCCCATCAAACAGAAGAGAGGTTCGTGCCGCTGTCATTGTCTCACACCAGCTGGTTGTCTCCCGAACCTGAACGTCTCTTGTTCTCTCTCTCATTCCACAGGCCAGCCAGTTGGGAGTGTACAAGGCCTTTGTGGACAACTACAAGGTGGCGCTGGAGACGGCAGAGAAGTGCAGCCAGGCCAACGGACAGTTCCAGAAGATATCTGAGGTCAGTTCATCCTCAAAAGTTGATCAGAGGCTCGAGGAGCGGTTGGAAGGGACGTAAGAAAGACGTCTGAATAGCAAAAAAATAGCTGCGTTTATTATGCGCAATATGTGGAGTTGGTGTTTTTTTCTTGTCGCATAATCTAATATTTGGTCTCAAGTGTCATGTAAATCCTCTTCGGTAAAGGGAAGAAGGAAACAAATGTAGATGGGACGACAGCAGAGGAGGAAGCAAGGCGGATTGGAACATCTTCTTTTTGACTGGAACTAACAGCGTTTACAGGAAATGTGGTCTTATTTTGAGGAACATTAGCTTAAAACACAACAGATGCACTGAGCACATGTCGGCTTGTTAGTGTTTGGGCAGATGGTTTGGATTATACTGTAAATCTACTGTACATCAACACAAGGTGGATGTATGTATTATTGTAAATGTGCTGGACTTTGAATACCTTTTAATATGGCAATGGGAAAAAGTTTTAATGCTGTGTAGATAGTCCGCTTTAGTTTCTAAATATAAAACATTCCATTTCCTGTTAAGCATTTAACAATAGATTACACTCTTGTGGTCATTTTCCAAAAGGAAGCCCTGTCGTTACAGTAATCCGAGTACAATGCACAGCAGATTACAGAACTGGAACTTGAGTTTTAGGGGTTTTAATCGACACCTTAAATGAATCCTTCACCCACAAAATCTCCATTTCTTTACATCGATTACTCACCCTGTGTTACCTCGAGTTCCTGAAGGAAACTTTGTTTTTCTCGCATGCCCCCACGGTGAACGGAGAATCGCACAAATGGAGAAAGGTCTTGATGAATTGAAACGAATGGGGGCTGTGTTCAACAAGACTTTTCTCCGTTTTTTTGATTCTCCGTTCACCATTGAGGCACGTGAGAAAAACAAAGTTTTCTTAAAGAATTCAAGGCAGCACCGAGTAATTATTAATATACAAATCGTCATGGTGTGGGTGTAGTTTCCCTTTAACTAATATCATTTCCCAGTTGTGCTGTAGAAGTGTTGGTGGTTGTACCTGTACTTTACTGTGTGGTGGTTACACGGCTCAGCCTCCGTCAGCTGGCTCAGTCTGCTGCAGTGACCCTATACGCCTTCATTACTTCTATCAGCCTCAGCCGAGCAAGTAGAGTGGTGTGTGTGTGTGTGTGTGTGTGTGTGTGTGTGTGTGTGTGTGTGT